GCATTAAACGGGACAGGACCACTCCGGGTCTTGTCCAGTGTCAGGTGTGTTATGTCGCAATTGACAACCGGGAACATGGCGTCGTCACGTTATCAAGATGTGTCGATTTGGCCTTGAGAAAGGCTTAGATATCTGCAGCATGGAAAAACAGCAGACTTTGCGTTGCAATATGCGATAAGTTAAGTCGGAGAAGGGGGCTGGAATAATCGCGAAGTAAGGTAAATTTCTCCGGAAGCTCATTCAGTGATTAGCCGTAGGTCATGCTGTGACCTAAGGTGTCCCGGTATGAAAAAATAAAGCCTTCACCTAGCTCCCCAGCACGCACTACTGCAACTATATCAAATAAACTAAGCGGTGTGTTGAGCCGATTGTAGCTTTTTAAGACTAGGAGTGAAACTACAGTTGGACAGCAGCACGTATGATGTTTTCCAAAGACTTAGTTGGTGTTCCACCAGAGTGCTCCATGTCTAATGCAAAGGTCTGGCGCGCTGATGACCAATAGTTTTTAAAACAAAAGTCATTGTTTTAGTTATGTCGGAAAAAGTCACATTCCATAGACCTGCAGCTATTTTAGGCTAACTAGGTAGGAACGCATTAGTCATAGCTTCCTGGAAGACTTGTCCAACCTTGAAATGAAACAGCTTCTTGCGCTTCTAATATTCATACCCACAAATTGTAACCATTTATCGCTGTATTACAGGATATTGGTAAAGGTTTTCCTAAGAACACCCACCTTCACGTTTTCAATCAAGTGTAAAATAACAAACACTTTGTGGTTGCTAGCACAACAAGATAATAACAATCAGCCTTTTGAAGTATAGCGGTGATACAGCTTTTTATTTGGATTCGTCAGTAAATCTTATAGACGTACTAGACCGTACAAATGTGTCGATACCATGCATTGCGATACGCATCGTCCTCTTACTTTAACTTCTCTTCATGTAGTTTAAACTAGAATTAACCCAAAGTAAATTTATTGTTAAGTTTGTCCCACTGTTAAATGACAAATCAAGATCACCATCCCTGAAATGGTGTGATTTTTGGGGTTGGAATAATGTAACTATTAACGGTGGTGAAACGATCTTTATTTGTTTGCCAAACCTTTCTTCATCCGGTTAGTAGAATATGCGCTTAGCTCGCTGCAATTGCCGTGCCAGTGGATTTGTACGAAAAGACTAATGGGGTAATAAAAGACGGCAAAATGTTTTACTCCAAGCATAGGATTCTCTGCATTTATGTTGACATTTATTCTAAAGTACTGTGTAGAATACTGGTACCTCTAGAATTTTACAGACATAACAAGTTAGGTAAAGAGTTCTCTTTAGTCTTATTATGGGTTCTGCCGTTATTTTTGCTGCTTTGTGGAGTAATCTATATTCGGACACCAATAAAATCACGTTGATGGGACACACAATTACTTAACATGATTAGTGGTCAAGTTTTCTCTAAACAAAAAGCAAACCTTTAAATATGGGCATAGAATCACGCAAAACAGTAAGTTGCGGTTTACATGTTGATGGAAATGGTATTGTTTGTGCAGTCATGGCAGTTAACTGGAATTGCGCGATAGCACCTTTCAATCAAAATACACTTGATGATAGAAGACAACAATTGCTTTGAAACGGTTTTACCGGTGTCGCTGCTTTGGACTGAATATAAAAATTCGGGGCCACTTGTTAACATATTTTGACCCTGTGCGACAATGGTAAGAGTCCCGCAATGTTACGATGAATGAATTATCCTTTCTGAAGGTTTTGTTTAATCCTGTGCTATCAAATTGAGGTCGACCATGGCGTACCAGAAATTTTAGTGCACTGCCGCTCTTATTTTTAATTTTTTGAGCATCTGCGAACGATCTTGCATAAAGGTTTCCTTCACAAGTAATATCAAGGTCAAGTGAGCATTTAATGTGTCAAAAGGTAACAACATTTTGAATTAGTTCTGAGGGACTTCTTAGTCAAGTGACCTAATGTTTGTCATTGTTCGATGCTTGCAGTTATGCAACTGATGAAAAACAGGTCGCATAGCATTCGAACTAATTTATGCCCTATTTTAATGAGGACATTCATGTCGTGCTTATAAAAACATATCATAGCCTAAGGAAACTATTACGGCGTCAGGAACCAGTAAGCCACATACTTGTACCATGAGGGCGAGCTGTAGAGTTTTACTTCATATTTATCGTTCTTTTTTGGTAAATAGTCAGCTCGAGTCAAAAGTGAAACGGTCAATCATAATCTCCTGTGTCATGCGTCTGTGCCAAATCTTTACCCTCCGATATTTTCTACCGCTTTTGTTAAGGATACCCTGTGTAAGATTGAAAAATCTTTGCTTGTAGTAAGGCTCCAGGTTAAACTGTAGCCCCGGCAAACTAAAACAAGCAAGCTGGTTGCAAGCAATGCTATTAAAAACAGTTAAAGTGATAAATACACTTTCGGTTGCTTTCTTTAAGAACAAATAGGCGTTAACTACCTACAGCGGTATCGCTTCAATCACACATTCGTAACCGGTAGATGGCGACAATACATGTCAAGAAAATTCCCGTTCTGCCCTACAACTTTGTTCATGCGAATCGTTTAATATTTTTATTCTGCGATTAAACTTACAGTTAAAAATCTTATCAGCTCTGGCAACGGTACCTTAAAGGCAATAAGAAGGGAATGGTTGAATCGTGAAATAAGTTAAGCAGTACTTACGAAAACTATTGTGTCGCCTGCCTAGCCCGCTATCACAATAAGTTTAAGGGTCTCGTTTAGCTATACATGAGAGTATGAATAGAGCTAACGCTTGTTATGGTACCTTAATTTTGGTCCACTCTAAAGTCATTGCATGAAATGCAAAACAAATTTGCTTTTTGAATCCTATGAAGAACTGACATAATTTAAAAGGTTTTCTGTATGTTGAATGACACTACGCTGCTCATCCGTACAGTATTATAGAACATTATATATGTAAACATGTGAACATGCTCAGTTTTCGAAGCTTCAGCACTAGAGGCAAGCCTTAACGTTACTAGTTGGCGAAGAAAATCTAAATGTGCTTACTCTTCCGGCCACCACAAAGTGCAGTGAAAGTGTAACATACAGGGAAAACTTGTAGGCTTACGAGACCTGGACCTGAGATAACGTCTCAGTTGCGAATCACAGGGGCGTTTTGCGCACTTCAGACGCTGGTATTCCAGAACGAATGACAATGTAGCATGAACTCGCACCACCATTATGGTGACACGACCAATTTGCCTCCACCGATGGCCAGTCAGAAGGGGATACCAAGTGGCATTTCGGCCCGCATTGTGCCTAAATGTAGTGATACTAAGAACCAGACGATGTTCAGTGTATAGTTGCAACCGGTGCCCGTCCGTCCAGAGTTACTTCCATACTTACCACATAGCTGAGCTTTTGAAGAGCTCAGCGACCTACTTGCGCATTTGTATTCTTTATAAAAACATAGATATCTGAACGGGCAACACTTTGAAGAAACCTGTTCAGTTCTTCATCATCATCATCATCATCAACAGCAGTACATCAGCCATTTGAACTGATGCTTCGCTGCCATACAACCATGAGGACCTATGAAACAAAGAATAAGAAGAGGGAGAGAAGGGGGACTTACCCGAAAACCTTAATGCCCTAAGCTAACATTCAGGGTCAAGGCGCCTACACCTTGTGTAGACAACATACCCTCACAAACAGCTGGCTATCGTGCAAAGATAAGGCGGCATCGGCGAGACAGCTTCCTTGCGGCTTTCACTGCCACGCGTCATAATCAGCCATTAACCCGCAGATAACTCAGCACCAAACACACTTTAAACAGACAATCCGAATAGCAGACGGCAGCAGACGCGCCGCTGGTGTCGGTTGCGAGCCATGTCCTGTAAATTCTCAAGCCAAGCACAAGGTGAGTCAGTTCAGTTCTTGATAGAAGGTGTCCTTTGTTCCATCAGAATTGCAGTCGGTGGGAGCATGAGTGAAAACAACAAACATAAGGCGTTCTGTACCATTTCGGAATTAATTTGATTGAGTAGGCTGCACACGAATGGCTGCTTACTGTAAGCCAACCAAACAACGATGACTCATCTTTAGGGCTGGGAAGGAGGCCCACTCCAGCTTGGCCAGCGTTTACAGCATGAGCACATGTGTGTAATTAATAGTAATAGGGCAAGACGGGCGCAGTTAATACAACAAAGCCGTGATGATTATTGGTCCCTGTTTCGGACACATACCACGCTACAACAATCAAGGCATTAAACGTTTGTGCGAGTGCAACCTGTTGCCATATGATTCTTAGAGTGCAAACGCTGAACGCTGCTGTAGACTTTTAGTTGGACTACTTGTGCGTGGTAAATGATGGTTATAACGATGGGAAGTGAGTCACAAGGAAACTTTCTTGCCAATATCGCCCTATCTTTTTACGATAACCAGTTGTTTGTTGCGGTATGTTGTTGAAGTGCGGGCGCCTTCACTCTGAATGTTTATTTTAAGACATTACGGTTTTATACAGTCCCGTTCTCTCCCTTCTATGCTTCTTTGTTCCGTATGTAGTGACTGTACAGCAACGAAGCGTCAGTTCAAATGGCTGATGTACCGATGTCGATGCACGTGATGACGTGGCGAAGAAAAGGATACTCCTAAGCATTTATGCACAAGTATTATAACACTGCCGCAAATATGTTCGTTTTAGTTTTCACTAGCTTGAGTCTAAATCTGTCTACCTATATCCTACCATTATTCTGTTCCTTAAGGTACTTTGCCAACGCTCGCTCCTGTTCGCTCCATCTGTTAACGTCTTTATGAAACTTCCTTGATAGTAATCTGTTTTGCTCGACCCCGCTTAGCGTCCGATATCGGCACCTTAATATGTGTCTACTGCTGGACTGATATGTACTATTACTGAAAACGTCACTTCTGATTTATAGGAGCAACGTATCAGTTATCCAGAGTTGGCCCATTAGTTGGAGCAAGCGACTAAATACAAAAGGAAATGCTTGTAGATCAACTCACTGGTATGTTACTCATTTGCTTCAAATACTTTCTTAATGCCTCAACCAGATAGACACTCGATGGCTTTGACAGGAATTCAACTGCATCCAGTCGTTGATTTATAATTTTTGGGTCAAACGTTGGTGTCAGCATCCACAGATGAAGCATTTTCTTTCCAAATTTTGTACAGCACCTGTTGAAAATCTCTTAAGTGGTAAGTGTAAAAGGTACGGCTAAAGGATACTTGATATGCACAGCTCTTCACTGTTCACGTTAAACAAAGTGTTATTCATGGTGGCGCATCGCGTGGCCGTTATCTGAAGGTTCCTCAGACAAGTAGCATCAATAAATACAATATTTTTACTTAAAATGATTATTTTATGTAATAATAAATTACTTTTGAAACATATATACATCCAGAATAGGCAGTATAGAAGTCATAACTCCTAAATCCATCACCTCGTCACGCTTATTGATGTATGTCAACAATCCACACAAGGAGCTCATCTAAAAATTTAAAAATAAAAATAAACTTACGATTTGAGTGTGACTTGGGGGAAACAGAGACTTGATATAGTGTTCTTTTTGTTCTTCTTCCATGGCTCGTAGCTTAGGTAGATCGATCGTTGCTATAATAGTAGACATATCACCAACTGTAAAAAGTGATGAAAGAACATAAATTGTACCAAACGCTCTGTTAGGAAGTGTTTTAACTAAGATCCCTGATTCTAGTTTATGTTTCGTAACATAGTAGGAATTTCAGAATACTTTGAATGCTTTGAATATACAATGGTATAATCCGAGCGACATGCTCTGAACACAGTAACACAGAAAGTTCGATAGCGTGTAAAACTGGAATTTATAAGAAAATTTTAGTACCACCGGTCAAATTTTTTGCTTCATTATCGCATTCGAATTCAGGGGTATAGCGCAAGACACTATATTCCCCATCGTACACAACCAAGCCGACGACATTTCGTGACATAGTCACACAGACTATAATCTAGAACTAGACTTAGATATGAAGTGTACTTCGCATCCTGGGCTTCCTCTTTCTTCAGAAGGCAAATAAGATACCGGTGCAAACCAGTTCATCCTCGGGAACACGTGTACTTTTCAGGTGAGCTCAAGGCAATGTGGACTCCAAGCGAACCATTCAAACAAATTTTGTTGTTAACATGCAACCGTGGTCGTGTCACCTTGCTGTAGTTCTAAAACATTGCGAACTAGCATTTTCGGAGTCTTCTTTTTTATATATATAATATATTTCCTCGTCATTTTATTGTCGATAAAGGAAAATATTTGACGATATATATTTCAAGTGCAAGTGGGACTTGCACAACAGGAAAATTTTTCGTCGATGCTCCTTCCGTGGCGCGTCGTTGACCTTGGGCTTTATTCGTTTGCCATAATTGAAATCTCGAATAGTCCGATCAGCAAGCGCGAATCACACCACAGGCAACCAAGTAAGACCCAGGCGACCTGCATTGGTCTTCCCTGCCGCAATAGGCACGTGAAGTAAGAAACAGAATTAGGAAAGTAATAAGAACGTAAAGAAACAAAAAGTAATGTATTTACCAATGCAATATTGCGAATAAACTGAGACGTGTAAGGGAAAGTTAACAACCGTGAACCAAGTTCGTCATGTCGGTGTTCGAAATCTTTCACCGTTGGTGCCAATACCACCTTCTCAGGCAGTGCATTCCAGGAATCCACTACTCTGCGTGTTAAACGGAAGCCCGCCAGGACTCCGGTCGATCGAGTATGGTGTAGCTTCATCGAATGACCCCAGAGAGATAGAAGCCGAGTAGGTTGGAAAAGCCAAGTTAAATCGGATGCGAGTTTACGCGTATGATAGGTCAAGGTCAGGTCGCATCGAACTCGACGATAATGCATTACGAACATTCCCATCTCAAGTAGTCTTGCTGGGTAGGGAAGGTTTCTTAGTCTATGAACCATTTTGCTTTCAACTCTCAACACCACCGTCAACCTGTCCTTGCATAAGCAATGTGGACATGCCTGGATGCAGCCTTCCAAGTGTGACCTGACTATGGTTGAGAATAAACTAACAAACATATTGCACGTGCTGTTCCAGAATGCCCTGCGGATCACACACAACCTCTTGAAACCCTCGCATGTAGCATTCCTCCAGTTCTCACTGGATTTAATTTCTGAAGACAGCGTGACCCCAGGTCTACCAGTGGGAAACATGCTGTGGTTCATTACCGCCAAGCAGGTAACGCGTTTTGGGGGCCGTTGGGTCCTAATCGTAAAATGGAACACTGCTTCAGTTATGGGCAACTGCCACAGAGCAGCCGCGTCCAAAATTTTATCAAGACCCGTTGCAGAGCCTGGGTCCATCGAGGTCTGACACTGTGCAGAACCTTAAGGTCACCTGCGAACATAAGAGATGATACCCCCAGCAGTTCGGGCAGCTCATTGACATATAGAAAAATACCAATAGGCCAATCGACGAACCCTGCGGGACACAACTAAGGAGTGACTTCCGGAAAGCCAAACTAGACCTCACACGAACATACATCTCCCTACCAAAAATGTGATGAACCGTTGTAGTACACATTTTGATAGGTCATAGGTCCGAAGCTTCAAGGTGAACCAAGAAGGTGGTACAGTGTCGAACGTTTTAGGCAAGTCAATAAACAGTACATCTACTGCATGACCACTATCTAAAGCATCCGCCCAACATTCGCGTGCAACTAACAAATTTGTTGTGCCGGAGTGACCCCTGCGAAAAGCGTGTTGCATTGGACTTAGCAGACCAAACTCCCACAGGTTGTTTGCAATCAAATCCATAATCAACTTCTCCAATAACTTGCATATTATGCTTGTCAAACTTGGTTGGCGGCATCCGTGTCCGGTGGTGCCTGTCATTGTGGCCAGCCACAGGACGGCTGGGTGTACAGAGAGACCGTTGGTGGCTTGCACTGCAACACCCCCAGTTCCAAACACACATTCCATATCCAGTGTAAATCCGAAGGAATAAGACCGGGTGGCATGTGGATGGGAGCCACAGTTTACCAACGGAGCCGCCCCACACTCCTTCACAGGCAAACACAACCACGATGAATTTGGGAATCAAGTGCACACAAGGCGGTGGCTGGACCGTAGTCCGCTTCACACTGAGTGCATGGAACCGCTCTTCGAACCTAGCACGGCAACAAGGACCGTGCACCCCGTCCCCTCCAGCAACGACCAACTGTCTCCTGGAGCCAGTATGGACGAGGTAGTGGGTAATAGACAGGTAGGCACCTTGTCAACATGCACATCAAGCGCAGCCACACCGGGGATATCAAGCAACAGCCAATCACTTGAAATGACAAGATGAAATAAAATAAATCGAATAATGCATACAGATACGGTGGCATAACTCTTCGCTAAATTAGCATATGAAGTAAATTGGTTAGCAATGAATCCGTGGTAATGTAAAAATATCCACAGTTATTTAAAATTGCTACAAACGCAACAAAGTTAACGCGGATAAGCGCAATTTGCGTAAGCAACGTGGCCAGTTAATAGAAGCTTATTCAGGTAGGCAGGACAAACCAAAAACGCGGAATGCAATTTATCCAACTTAAAAATTGGTATAAGTGTAAGTTGGTCTACACCAACCGTGGCGCCGAAGCATCACGAATGCAACATCAGCCTCAGCATGGGGCACAAATAGACATATACATGCTTGGCAGCATCCGTGTCCAGGTTTGCCTGTCACTGTGGCCAGCAACATGACGGCTGCGCCTACAGTAGGACCACGGGTGGCTTGCGCTGCGACACCCACGGCTTCAAACACACACCGCACTTCCAGTGTAAACCCGAAGGAATAAAACCGGGAGGCATGTGGATGGGAGCCACGTTTCACCAACGGAGCCGGCCCACACTCCTTCAGGCAAACACAACCACGATGTATTTATAAAAGCAAACACACACAAGGCGGTGGCTGGTCCGTACTCCGCTCCACACTGAGTGCATGGAACCGCTCTTCGAGCCTAGGGCAACGACGTGGACCGTGCACCCCATCCCATCCAGCAACGACCAACTGTCTCTTGCAGCCAGTATTGACGAGGTAGGGGTTAATAGACGGGTGGGCAACTTATCAACATACACATCAAAAGCAGCCACGCCGGGGTTACCAAGCAACCGCCAAGCACTTGAAACGACAAGGAGAAATAAAATATATCGAATAATGCATACAGATAAGGTGACATAGTTCTTCGCTAAATTAGCATATGAGGTAAGTTGGTTAGCATCGAATCCGCGATAAGTACAAAATGTCCACAAGTTACCTAAAAGTGCTACAAACGGAACAAGTTACCGAGGATAAGTGCAATTTGCGGAAGCAACATGGCCAGTTAATAGAATATTATTAAGGGAGGCGGAACAAACCAAATAAAATGGAATGAAATTTATTCAGCTTAACATATCCTATTTTAAGTGTAAGTTGTCAAACTTACAGGTCTATACTTGGCAGGGAAATGCTTGTCGCCCTTTCTAAAACCCGGGCAGACGAGGGCATCTTTCCGGTCCTTGGGTAAGGAGCAACTGCGAAGCGACAACCGAAACAAACGTGGAATTTGACCACATAGCCCACTTGCGAATTCGTATAATAGCTTTCTGGTGAGCATCATCCATCCCAACTGATTAGGCAGGATTTAGTCCCTAAAGATGACTGAGGACTTGTGCCTCCCAAATTGAGAAGTCAGGAATACAGGAGTCCTGCGAGACTCTCATCGCTGTCAACATGCGACAACTGTTCCTCCAGGACAAAAGTCTCGGTATACTGCGCACTGAGAAGGCAGGATTTTCGTGATCAGTGTTGACAGTGGCACCGTCGCTGCCAAATAACACTGGGATAGATGAGCCAACGGGCCTACACCTTGACGTAGTCGAATAATCGTTTGGGGTTTGCGGAGGCTGACTTAGTCAGCTCCAAGTAATAAATAAACCTATTAGCTCGTAAATGACCATTGCAAGCATTCTGCGCTTCAGGATAACGCAAAAAGTATTTTCCGAAAAACTTGTACGGTTTATCCGACAGCATTGCTTTTGTCTATTCAGCAGCTTGTGTGCCACGTTGTCCAATCATGTTGACTTTGCTTTGGAAACCGTCACCAATTAAGGGATGTGGGTGAGGGATAAACTATGGAAGAAGGACTTTAACGTATCCCAAGCCTTCATTATAGCATCATCCGGCAACACAATGCATGGCGAACGTACTGCCTTGGTTCTAATCGAATGAAAGTTGGCGTATTAAATGTTTTGCGTTTGGAACCTGCGTGAATCCTAGTCTCTAGTGAGAGCACAATTGAACGACAAATACACAAGGTCACTGGCTTCCAAAGTGGGACCTTACGCGAGATCCCGCACGGTCGACCGGCGATGCAAAAACTAAGTCCCAGAGAGAAGGAGCATGACCAGCAATGTACCCGGTGAGTCGATCGAGAAATTGGTGTAAGGGTACTTCCCGAGCAAGTCGGCAAGCTCGGCAACCAGCCCTTTGGTTGCTGCCTCGTAAGATAGGTCATGCTATTTATTTCAGGGACGTTGAATTTCCCCAACATCAAGCACTTGTTTACAGCCTGAGTGCGGAGGGGGTCGACGAAACTCATAGAAACCCTATCAAGGCTCCTATATAGCAGTACAATTTTACATTGCTTTGACTTAGTACGGGTTTCAACTGAAAGAGCTTCAGTCATACTATCAGCTGAGTAAGCAGCATGTGTTTTAGCTATGTTTACACCACACCAATATACAGGGCGACTCCGCCACCCCGGCGATCAGGTTGGCGGTCAGATCTCAGTACTGCGTAGCCCAAACCGTATAAGTCACTGTCCATGTAGGCAGAAGACAATCGCTTTTCAGTGAACACGAGTTAATCAGGATGGGTGTTGTCTAGTAGGGCTCCAACTTCACACTGACTAACGACTTACGTGCCCGGGGTGGGAGCTGTTCAGTGTGGCACATTGCCTTGACGCAAGCAAAAAAATAATGATATGTAAATAAATAAATAAATTTATTTTCGTGCAATGCGCGGGTACACTATCGGTTAGAAAGGCATGGTTATCAAACTGTAAGTTCCA